GTGCCATTCCTGTTCAACCCACTCAGGCCTTCTGAGCTGTGCTAGTGCTCTGACTACAGCTTTCTGCCTTGCAGATTCCTGATAAGCAGTATGTGCTGACTGCCCTGGCTGCCCGTGCCAAGCTGCGAGCCTGGGATGATGTGGATGCCCTCTTCACCACCAAGGTGGGCTGTGGAAAGCCTTGCTGGGGACTCACTTGCAAGTACTGATATCTACTACTGATAACAGGCTTGTTGTGGAATTACCAGACAGACTGGTTTTATTTCAGCAGGGCCCAGCACCTCTGCTGCAGGGTGTTGTAATATGTTCCTCCTCTCCGTAAGAGCTCTGCTGGGCCTGGCTTGGCTGCAGCAGCAAGGTCAGAGAAGGAGGCTGCCCTTACCAAAGGGTTCACAACCAGCCAGCACCCAGCCACAGCACTGGCTCTGGTGTACGTTGCTGCCACTGGGGGAAAATATTTTCCTGTGGCTGGAGGGGTTGCCCTTTAGCATTATCATAGGGTTTGGCTCTCATTTCAGAACTGGCTGGGCTACACCAAGAAGAAGGCACCTATTGGGTTCCACCGGGTGGTGGAGATCTTGCAGAGGAACAATGCTCCTGTGCAGGTGAGTAAGGAACCACTGCTTATGTCCTCCTGATCTTCGTTGGGATTTGGGGTGTGGATGATTCCCCAAATGAGCTGCTTCCTAGCTGGGAGTGGAAGATGAGCTTGCCAGGCTGCTGGCACTGCCGAGTGGGTGCAGCACTCAGCTGAGCAACCCGTGCATCACCAGCAAGCATGGGGGGGTAGCGAGGGCTGGGTCCTAGGGCTGACTGCAAGAGGGACAGCAGGACTAGAGCTGTCTGGGAGCTCTCTCTCCCACAGTGCATTGCAACCTTTGTTTGCTACATCAATTTTTCTTACGCTTAATCTGGCTGGCAATGGTTAACCCAATCCATAGGAACGAGGTAGCCTAGGACTCTGAGCTTTGTGAGCAAAGCTTTCCTGCCTCTGGGATCCCGAGCAGTCTTGTCCTGGTCACTTGTTGCCTTAGGAAGGAAGGGGTCAAGTCTGTGTGACCAGCGACCTTGAAAGGCTTTGTGACTGGGGTGAGAGAACGAGGCATGAAGTACATGCAGAAGGCAGCTGAGACACCCTTCCCTCGCAGGTGCTGGAGGAGTATGTGCGCCTGGTGGAGGATGTGGAGACACGGTTGAATCTTGCCACCAAATACAAGTGCCATGATGTTGTCATTGAGGTAGGTCACTGCTGTGTGCGTGAAGAGATGGGAGAAGAGCCTGTTTTTGCTCCCTAGCTTTCCTGCCATGTGCCACTGCTGTCACGTGCCTTGTGGTGTTTGCTTATCACTGTGTGCTGGGAGCGGTGATGTGGTGCACGGTAGAAGTCAAGTGAGCCAGGAGAGGCTCCTGGCATTTGTGCTGTGGAATTGTGCTGTGGTGGAAAGTTGAGGGGGCTTGAAGAGTTGCCCTGCTCATCTGTGGGGCACCATCTAACTGTGGAAGTGTCCTCTTCACTCAGCTGGGTGCTGGTTTTGCTGTTTATCTAGACCTACAAGGATCTAAAGGATCGCATCCAGCTGACAGCATATAAATGCAAAGTGGAGCGAGGCTCTGCAGAAGAAGAGAAGATAAACAGCATTCTCAACAACATGGTAAGAAACGCCTGCTTTTTCTTCCAGGGAGTCTCATCAGAAACAGCTGTAGATCAGGTAAAAGGGCATGGCTGTCCTACATACCTTTTATCCCTGCTGGGAAGCTAACCTTATTTTTGGGGTTGCATTCAGGGTAGGAGTGAAGGGTGAAACTGATAGAAATACCACCCTCTAGCCATAGTTGTCCTTGTCAGGGATTGGGACTCACTAACTCATCCCCTGAGGGAACTGTGATTAGCACCAATGTTAGTCACATCTCTTTCTCTCTCTTAGCAAATCCGATGGAAGAACTGAGCACTGCTTGGGCGTGGCCTTGCCAGTGAAAGAAGAAACTGCAAAACCCAGTCCAGTGCCAACAGAGCAACTCTGTTACTACTCATTGCATGATTAACGTTCATCAGTGACAGTGGGTGTCCGTGGCTTGTGGGACAGTGGCATTCGGGCTGGTTGAAGGCAGCTGCTCCAATGTAGCCAGCAAAATTATGGTACTGATCCACCAGGGTTGATTCTTTTTGGAATCTGATTCTACTTGACTTGGCTGTAAGCCAGGCACCACTTTTGTTTATGGAGGGAAGTTGCTGGGCACAGCAATGTTACATTTACTCTGGATGGTGCCTGAACTTAATCTCACAAGAAGAACAGTTCAGTCACACTTAGGGGTCTTCCCACCAGACAGTGCTGACCAGTCCCTGTAACACTCAAGCTGGCTTGGGCATCACCAGCCATGGCTGTGGCTGGAGTAAAGTCTACCGGACTGTATTCTCCCTGCATCAGAGAGCGTGCTGGGGGAGAGGACCAGCAGCACCTCAAAGCTTGGGGTTTTTGTTGGTTTTTTCTGGCTCAGCCTAGAGAAAGAGGTGTTGTATGAACTCCTACAGAGAGCCAGGACAGCAGCCTCTGCCAGTATCCTCGTGTGGGCACTCTGCAGCTCTTGGAAGATCCTTTTATCAGGGAAGAAGAGGCACCTGGTGTGCGGAGCTGGTCAGAGCCCTGCTGGGTTGGATGGAGAACAAGGAGGGACCCCTCTCAGTTGGCACAAACCTGTTGACCCTAGCAGTTCTTTTCTCTTGAGAGTGTTACACCGGGAAGGATTGAATTGCACTTTCTCAGAAACACAACTCCTCAGGCAACTGCTGGCTTCATCCTTCCAGACCTCACTTCAATTCCTTAAATAAAGCTGTCTCTTTCTCCTTGGGCTGTTTATTTCCATCCTGCACTGAGCACTTTGTAACTCTGTGTGCTAATCCTGAGCAATTTATCACACCTCCCACAAAGTAAGTATGCAGGGTGTTTTCTCATGTCCTGAAAAGCACAGTGCCTGTCACCATGGAGTGGCTTTGCTTGCAACAGTACCTTATTTCCTACTTTAAATGCCAGCAGCACAGTTGAGTTAATTTTAATGTAGGAGAGTTTGCTGCCTCAGGGGTGGTCACGCAAAGGTGAAGGTTATATGTAGTGATGTACCACTCTGAGGCAGGTTTGGGTTCCAGCCTCCCTGCTGCACTGTGCACTCCTTTTTTTTTTTCTGTTGGTGTTTATTGTTTTTTCCTCACAGAATTGTTTAGGTTGGAATTGTTTAGCTTGATCACTTAGTCTACTCCTGCTCAAGCAGAGTCACCTAGAACAGGCAGACCAGGACTGTGTCTGTCTGGGTTTCCAGTATCTCCACAGCTGGAGATGACTCAGCTTCTCTGGGCAACCTGTTCCTGAATTTGACCACCTTCACTGTCAAAAAGTGTTTTCTTGTCTTCAGATGGTCTTTCAACATTTCAGTTTGTGCCCACTGCCTCTTGTCATCACTAGGCACCACTGGAAATAGTCTGGGTCCCTTTTCTTTGTTCCCTCTCATCAGATACTTAAATTTGTAAGATCCACCCTGAGCCTTCTTCAGGCTGAACAGTCCCAGCTCTCAGCCTCTCATACAAGAGATGCTCCACTCTCTTAGTCATCTTTGTGGCCCTTTGCTGGACTGTCTCCAGTATGTCCATGTCTCTTTTGTACTGAAGAGCCCAAAACTGGACACGGCATTCTGGATTTAGAGGGGAAGGTTCACCTTCCTTAATGTGCTGGCAACATTCATCCTAAGGCAACCCGGGATGCTGTTGGCCAGGGTTAGGTTTGCTGCCAGGCTCTCCTACATGCTCCAGGCCAGGACATTGCTGGGTTGTAGGAGTTGGAATGGTGTCACTGGCTGGGATTTATGTCAGGGAGCAGTGGGAGAAGCTGAACATACCCTTGGAGGAATCTGATGAAGCCATAAAATAAAACCTGACACCTGTGTTCTCCAAGCATTCATCCTGGAAGCCTCTCTTGACCACTGATAGAGGTGTGTATGGAGGTGTAAATCCAGCCACAGGGGACCTGTGAGCTGGCTGTGCCCACAGATCCCCTGACCTCAGGGTGCAGTTTGCAGGATGCAGTGCTTCTGACCTGTGGGTATCAGCACTGCCAAGGTCCCAAGCAACGCAGGACCACTCATAACAGAAAATACTGATGTGCCACATGGGATGGGGTTAGCGATTTAGCAGAGCATGCTGTTGTAGAAAAGATCTTTATTTGATTGGAAACCCACTCTCTGCCAAACATTAATTTAGTTGTTTGCTTTTTCTAACCAATCCCATCTGAATGGTGGAGACATTAATCCTGTTTTTTGAGCGTTGGCTAGTTTAAGGCCCATTTTAGTTTAGTCCCCCCATTTTTGTGGCTCTTCAAAATTCCCCTTGTCATTTGCCAAGAGCCTGGTTGGTGACTGAGACTCCAGGTTGTTAAATATTCACCCAACAGAGAAAACATATCCCCAGATGAGCAGCAGTGCTGAAACAGAGACACCCCTCTCCTTGTTTCATGGCTGCATGGTCAGTTGTAGCAGACAAGCTTTGTGCTGGGCTCTGAGGGCCCAGCCAGGAGAGGAGATTGGCCCACAGCAGTACAGTAACTGTTTGCATAGAAACTGTCAACTGCTCTGTAAACTCTTATATAAAACAAGACAAGTGGGGAGAACAGTCCTCCAGGGAGATGTTTGGAACAATAAAATCCTCTTTCTAATCATCTCGGGGCAGAGAGGAAGCAGGGATTATTAAATGGCTTTTTATAGATCTTGAAAACTAGCCAGAACCCAAGGCTCGGCTGTTTCAGCTAAAGGCTTTAAATCAGACTGTGTGAACTGGGGCCAGGCAGCTGAGCTCTCTGTATGTTTACTTCTGGCAGAGAGGCTGTCTGCTTTGTGTCACTCTGCTGCTGCCTTTTGCCATGTAGGAACAGTGATGGGCAGCAGCCATGTCCCTCTGTGCTACTTTGGGCAGCAGGCAATGGTCCCAGCCTGGGAGCAGTGGTTTGTGTTTCACCTGCATGTGGCAGAGCACAGGTAACTGTGCTGCTGGTGCCCAGAGGTGCTGGTCAGTCACGTGTGTTCCTTCTATGGGCTTCGAGTTCCTTTCTTGCTTATCGCAGCAGACCTAAAGAAGCAGGGGCTTGTGTGCTTTTACAAAAGTGCTCCGCTGGTGGCCTGGGAGGACATTGTGTTCCTCTGCTGTCTCCCACCACATGTGCTGTCTGTTCCATCGTTCAGCCTGCCATCCAGAAACCCTGCATTGTGTCCAGACTCGTCACTGCCATCCCTCTCCTCAGGTAAAATGGACCGTGTTATTTCAGAGCCTGGATGTACTGCCATATTTTGGGACCTCATGGGACAGAGTGCATCACGTGCTCTGGCTGAGCCGAAACACAGCTCTTACTGCCTCTCACAACTTTATTGTGAAATGTCTTTGCAAACCTCATCATGGTTGGTCACTTCCCCAAGTCCCTAACTGCTGGAGACACAGGAACACTCAGAGTTTCAGCTTTGTGTTTGTCTAGAGGAAGTTTTAGACTTTGTGGCTATAAATGTGAAAACATGATCAAAAGGAGTCAAGGTTGCTCCAGATCAAACACAATGCCAGCATTGAAACCCTTCTCCTGCCAGGGCCTCAGATTATCGCTGCAAGATAACCTGTTGTGAGACAGCTCAGGAAACAAGGTGCAAAGGAGCACTCTGCAGTCTTCATGGTCGAAAAAGCAAACACAGTGCATTGTATTGCACTTTAAGCTGCTGCCCTAGCTCTCCTGAAGGCTCCAAGTGCAGGGGTATGACCTCTACCCCCTGCTCCTGATGCCTGGGGGTACCCATCCCCTGTGGTCAGGCCGGTTCCTGGCCTTCTGCCAAGGTGACCAGTGAGGGGCCAAACGTGATGCTGCTCTTCAGTGCTATGGGCAAGGCTGTTTACTAGTAAAAGGTCTGCAAGTCCTGCAAAGGGTAACTGCTTCCTCCTTACCAGCTAAACCCAGTTCCTCCCCCATCAGCTAAACCTGGGTGATGCTGGCTATTGATTGCAGGGCTGAGGAAGGGCAAACAAGTAGTGGGGATCCAGCTGGAGATGAGAGAGGCGAGGAAAAGATAGACCTTGCTTGAGGGAATCTGCCTGCAGTGGGGAGGGACCTGGACCTTGTCACATTTCTGTGCCACTGCAGATGTGGTATGACCTATGTACACTGGGGGAGAGAGTGCAAGGAATGATTTTTACACATTTTTACACTTTAAAAAAAAAGCAACCAGACCACTGCATGGCAAAATTAACAATCCTACCATGGCCATCTCTCCACTGGCAGTGTTAAGGCCCATGAATTAATTTTAACACAAAGCAATGAGGATCAAGTAGGAAGAACCCGACTCAGTGGTTAAGATGGCTGTTGGAAGGGAGTCATTATAAGAAACAGTAATGGGATGAATCCCAGCAGCTGTTGACTCAGCCATGGCTGGTGCAGTGGGATACTCCCTGTGGCTTTCTCCGAGTTTTCCTCATGCAGGGCCTTAAAATGTCACAATCCCACCCACGCTGTGCAATCACTGCCAGCTCTGGGCAGTAGCAAGCCTAGGCACTCCAGGAGAATCCCCCCCCTCTCCTTCTCTGTCTCTCCCTCCTCCCTCATTCTGGCCACCTCTTCTTCCAGGCTGAAGCATCTCCTTCTCTGCAGTACTGGTGCTCTGGCCAGGAGCCTTCCAATGAGTGGGGGGTCAAAGGAGACAGTCCCAGCCATGCTGCGAGACCCTGCTGCTGCAAAGGCAACGTGTACCTGCAGCTCCCAAGGTAAAAACTCGCTTTTTTCTTATACTTGGCAGCAGCTCTTCTAAGGAGTTGCACTCGGTGGTTCCCCTGCCTTTATGATTCAAGGCTGGGTCTGGTGTGTGATAATTTTATTAGTTCGAGTGTAGTGTGGGGAAGAAAACCTTCCTAGAGAAATCCTGCCACTGTACAGCTGAACCTGGAGTGCATGGAAGGGAGCAGTCATGCACCAGCAGTGGGGGGGCAAAATGAAGCACTATGTGCCTCCTTCACCAGTCTCTCTGATTAGTGCCCTGGGGGGTCACCCTTTCTTTCAGGAGCACTGCTTTCCATGTACCTGCCACCAGTTTCTAAACAGCTACCATTTCCCTTCATGAAACAATAGTAGCTCTGAGGCTAAATCAGTGAGCAGGAGCCAAGATATAATTTCTGAGTAAGAACATGGCCCAAACCCCTTTTCTCTTTCCTCAAGCACAACCATTTCCATGGGCATGCTGTTCCTATTGCCAGCTGCTACCTTTGTCCATTGCAATTTCATCATATGCTTCTGTGTGCATTTCTAATTTGTGCGTTGCTGAATGCTCTTAAAGCAGCTATACTGCTCATCAGGCCATGATGGATGAATGGTTATATGTTCTTATATGTAGCCTGTAAAGGACTCCTGTTTACTTGATGAGAATGAGCTACAGAAAACACAAGCGTTACTAGACTCGTTAGTAATAATTTCATCATCCTTCATCTAAAATGATTTTAGATCAGAGGTTTCAAATAAACCAGGTCTGATTGATTGCCAGTGCAATTCTTCACAGGAGTGGGAGATAAGAATCTCTCTTCACACCTGTGTGCGCACTGGTAATTGGCATCTGATTTTGTTTGTCCTACATGGAAAATAAGAATCAATGCTGAATGGCTGGTGGCCATTTTCTACATAGCCTTGAACAGCAGCATGTTGCAGAGCTTACCTCACCAGAAGGTACTGAAGTTACCCAATAACCTCTGATTTCCTGAATGCTGCCCCATCTGTGCAGAGCAGAAAACTTCCTACACATGGTTTGTCTAAGAGTTTTGTCAGTAAAGGTTTTTCCTTGTCAGTGACTCAAGAGGAGTAAGTAAAAGGTTGAAGAGCTTCCTCTTTGCTCTGAAACTTGCCTCATCCCACAGCTGAAGCATGGGCTGTCTTGTTGGGTTGGAAGGTGTGTTGCCCTTAGGACCACATATCAGCCAAGGGAAGCTTGCCTTAGGTGATGTATTAGTATCTAGACCTGGACTATCATACCTGAGTTATTTTGTCCCTAGTTCCTGTTTGGCTACTTAAGAGGGTTGTCTGAAGCCACTGATCAGGACTGGGACATTGGATGCAGAAAAAAAATTTCCTATGGAAACATCTAGAGAGGACAGTTTTTATGGGTAATGAACTTACGGAAGTTTATGAACTAGACTATGGAGGACGTTAAGACAGGGGAACACTGCTTGAGGGAAAGAACTTCTGTTTGTGCAGGACTGTTGTAGAGCCATTAGGCTCAGTTTTGCTCCGCATGGCAGAGTAATGCCTGGAACATTTTAAGTCTGATTGTTTCTCAGAGGTGCAAGAAAGAGTCTCATAGTCAGACACTGAGGAAAATAATTATTTGTTAAATTATTAGCAAGCTGCTTCAGACAGTTATTGCCCATTAAGGTTTCCGTGTGTTTTCTCTTCCCAGAACCTTCCCCTGGTTTGACCTGACAGCTGCACAACTGAGAGAGTGACCCTTTAGCCAGCTGCTAAAAGAGTGAGTTTGTCCAGCACCATCTTGCTGTACTACACCAGGCATCCTTTGGAGACTGACCTACAAAGTAGTGAGGGCTGATCAGCACCAAGACATCTCTTACTTCAGCTGTAGTGGAGCCTGGTGTGACATTTGATGACAAATCTCCATTCTCCATAGCTACTTCCAACATTTTCTCAGAAATTCCAGAGGAAATTGCTGACTATGATTCTAAATCCTCATAAACAATAACGAAGCCCATCGCAGAATGCTTTGCTGAGATCTCATCTCAGCCCCCTTATGGGACTGAGGGGTGCAAGAACCAGCACTGTTCACTCTTGTACTGTTTAAAATATTCCTGGCAATAACCCTATGTACACATTTGCTTCTACAAGCTTCAGTCTCTAGACTGCTCAGCAAACTTGCTTCTCCCTGTCTGCCTGAGTCTTGCTTTATTTTTTTTGCTTATTACATAGTCATCTTGAATTATGAACTGCTTCAGTTTCACTGGGTTTGTGTTGGAGTTTCAATAGAAAACTGAATTACAAAATTAAATTACAGGTATTTTGTAGTGGCTACTGGTTTGGTGTAAATAATTAAACAAGACTGGGCCCAGCCTTTTTAAATTTTGTTAAAAATAATTTTTTTACATGGGGATCTTAATGAAGCCATTGATGCCAGACAAAATTGTAATGATTTAGTCAGGAGCATTTTTTCTGTTGAACCATGTTTTAATCAGCACTTACTTGTACTTCCTTGTTGATCATAATGCACCCCACCACAGCCACCACAGAGTACATCATACTTATTTCAAGGAAAAAGGAGGTAACTGGGTATTCTGTCCAAATCCACCCAGGACAAAGCTTTTTTTAATTCCCTAAATTCTCCAGTTTGCAGTATTCTGTTACGCTTCCTCCCATCATTTATAATGTGTTTCAGTTCTGTTTACTATGATAAACCACTGCCTGCCTCACGGGAAATAATTTCTGTGGTCAGACCAGGGATAGTTGTGCATGTTGTAACTAGGCCCCTTGCTTAATTACGATTGCTGACAGCAGCTGGCATCACACCTGTATACCAGTTATTGTATATGCCATTTATCTTAAATCTGGGCTTTACAGTGAGCCCAGTCTGCAGACACTAAAACCTGAGAGAAATCTATTCACCTGAGCTGCAGGAAAGATTTTTTTCATCACTGGTAATTAAAATATGTCTGTGATTCGGTTTTGGTCTTTTTAATCAACTGTGAAGCAGAAGTGAAAGACAGGCCGTGATACAGTCTGATTTATAGCTTCTGCTTCATTTAGCTCCTGGAACCAAATGAAGGATTGCAGAAAAGTGCCAAGGTGGGGGGGATGTATTTGCTGTAATCAAATGGCTAAGAGCTGCAATGGCCGCTTCCATAATCGGGAGAAGGTGAAACTGTACCATCTTGGACAAACTGCGAGGTAACAAGGGTATATTTTGCTGGTCTTCTTACAAAAGTGCAGTGTGAGTCTCTAATCCTGCTTCTGGGTGCTCTGTGGTACAGTGAGAGCATGCGCTTCTACTCCAGCCTGGGCTTGTTGCAAAGGAGCAGCTGTAGTATAGGGCTCCAATCCTGCTTCTTGGATAATCTGTGAGAAAGTGAGGGCATCTGCTTTCTTTCCTGATCGGGACTTTCGCTCCAGGAAGAGACCCATGCAGTCTCTGTATGGGAGGGTAATGGATCTGTTGAAGAGAGGCTCCTCAATCCCCAGCAACTCTCGCACATGTTGTGAAATCTCCTGAAATACAAACCAAAATACCTGAAATTCTCATTGACAGGGCAACAACTAATAACATTCAATGTCAGAGTAGCAGGAAAAAGAACTGAATTTTTGGAACGGTTTGGAAGTGGCAACTTGTGAGGGGTCTGAGCCCCATGTGACACTGTAGAAGCAGAGCAGACCACTCGTTCTCCAGATTTACTGTGGGGGATGACATTGCATCTGGTCTCTTAGTGGCACAAATAGCACTGCTTTCCTCTTTGCTCTTGCAGAACATGCAAGTTACGGGTGAATGAGCTGGAGTTTTCTGCCTCATGCAAAAACATTGCTGTTTGCTAAGTTATATTGTCAACAACAAAGTCTATACAGAGAAGAGGTGTAAAAACTAATTAAACCGACAAGACATACAGCTCATGAAGAAAAGGATGAGTGACTGGCTATCTGAGCCAGCTGGACCTAGAACTGTCAGTGAATAGAGCCTTACCATTATTTTTGAAGTCACTTCTGAGAATGTAACCTTCTGATTTGACTGAAGCTTCAAAATACAATTCACAAGGCTTTACTGATCTTTCACAGCATTTGCTCAAAACCTTCCCCCAACTTTGACTTGACTCTGAAGAGTGTGATATCAAAAGAACGCCAGACTAGTATCTTCAGTGAGTTTGATATTGAAAATATCAATACAGTGGAACTAAACCGAGCAGTAACTTCACTCGTCCGTGCTGTGTAGCTTCCACATAATTCACTGTGTAGGTCTCTACCAAACTGCCATTTCCCCTAAATTGCAAAAAGTTCCTATCTCACTGAGCTGATGCTATCATGTTTATTTCTATAGCAACTATCTCGGTTTCAGATGTTCACAGCCTTTCATTGATATTTCCTGTTGGGAAGCTGATGTGCCCAGGATTATGGCCATAACTTTGCACCTGCTCTAGTATGTGGTTCCTGAAAGACCCCAGGGACCACATCCTGCTCAGAGCTCTGCACGCTTGGATTCCATCAGAGTAAAGTTCTCTAAACCACAAATAACTAGCAGGATAGGGCATGATCCTCAAGAATATCTAAGTTCCACTGAAGTCTGTGAGGTGTTCCCAATTCGCTTACCAGCTTTGGAAAATGTTACAATCTCATTTCCAAGCTTGCTGCAGTATGCTCGCTATTGCTTATCCTAGACTCAAGGAATTTCAGTTTCTGCGGGAGGAAGAATGGGTTACAGTTGCTACCTCTAACCCATAGTTTAGTGCTTCTCAGCAGTTCAACTACCACCATACATAATTCCTATAACCCAACGTAAGGGTGAGGCTTACAAAGCATATACAATTCTTGCCATCTTCGGTAAGTGCAAAAGACTATAAAGGCTGTATCTGCTTGAACTAGAAATACTCCGAAGGGCTGCTGTCTGAAGAACTAGGCATTGTAATTTGATGCCTTCTCCTGCAACCAACAGGCAAAGTCATGGCACTAGTCAATGGTTTTGGTGGCATATTTTGTTTCAAACAAACAGCTAAGATTGTGCAGCCAAACAGAACTCTGGTGAAATTGCTTTTTCGTTCCCTGATATAAAACAAACAGGTTCATACTCTAGCTATTGGACCATAAAGATTTTTCTCTCTTCCTGATTCTTTGAACTTCTACCTTCGGTCCTCTGGGGAAAGTAACTTTAAATCATGATGCGAAACAAACTATTTGGGTCTGTAAATGCAGCCCTGAGTCTCTCTGTGGTTTCCATTAAACTTGCTTCTTTTCTGAGCCTTCAGGAAGCTTTGGAAGGCTAGACTGTAGCCCTGAACTTCAGTCTAGTTAACTATCAGTGTTTGTTAAAGAAAAGATGTAGGTTTGATAGGAAAATGGCCAATTACATGTTTATAAAATGAGGAAGAGACAGATGCTGTTTGTGTTCAGTGAAGTGTAAAACAAGGAAGTAATAATGAGTTGCCCTTCTGCTGCTTGAGATCAGTGGCTCAACTGCTGCAGGTTAAACCTGACTAGATTTTTAGAAGTTCTACAAATCAGTAAGTGGAAAATTACTGAAAAGAAATTCTGAGGGATATGTAAGAAAGGTGCATGTATCTTGCTAAGCAATTTCATGGGACAAGAGGAGCAACACAGGCTTGAAGAAGGCTAAGCACTTCTGATGTACATATCATGTCCCAGAGAGGATGCCTGCGATCTCCAGCCGGTTAAGGATTTCCACCTGAAAAGCCTCAAGAGATGTAACTGTTTGGCTGAACAAATTTGGTTGTCCAGTTTCAGGGTCACTCTTGGAATAAGCCATCTGCCTGGGCAGACAGGCTATAGCCTAGCCTGCTTGCAAGGAGAACGAGTCAGAGCTGTGCTCCGAGGGGCTGAGGGAGCTCCAGGACCCGCAGCCGGCCGCACCTGCATGTGCCCGAAGTCTGTGACACCCATGGCGGGCAGGTTGGAGCAGTTCGCGAGGATGAGGCGGCGGCCGGTGATGCCGTTGGCCCTGAAGCACTCCTGGGCAGGGAAGCAGAGAGAAAGGCGAGTGGGCCGCGGGTCGCCCTCGGCCACCGCCACCCCCACCCTCGCCACTCGCGCGCACACACACACACACACACACACACACACA